GTAGATACGTTTTGGGGGAATCAAGAGTTACAGGTGGATTTTCGACAGCCGGGGGGTGGGCGCCCCTAACCCCTCTGTTGTTCAAGGATCAACTGGATTTGCCTGTGTTGTGGCCACATATTCATCATCAAAGACACCAGCTCTCCTACCAAACAAGCAAAATTTGCTACTTTCCTACCCTGTTGATAGTTTTTATTGCTTCTTCACAATATGTGCACTTAGATTTTTCTTAAAAAGATAAGCGTTGGAGTAAGGTAGCCAGTTTGCTGGACAAGTCTTGCACTTGGTGGTATCCTTGGGGAAAAGCTCTAGAAAGCAAGTCTGAAGACCACCACCGTGAGATGAAACTGTTTCCTCCAGCCACCTCCAAAACACATTTGTGCTTGTGGGGGACTCAGTCAATGGGGTCCCCAGGAGCAGCCCCAAAGGCTGGGGTGTGAGTGGGGCCCAAGAGCGCCTCCAGGCTCAGCCACCACACAACCGAAGGCTCTCGTGCGGTTAACCTCTCTGAACTTCCATTTCTCCCTGGAAAATGTGGATCAGTGATGCCTGCCCTGACCACACTGCTCACTCTAGAATATTCTATAAGAGAAGCAGCGTGGGGGCCACTGGGATGTGCTTTGGCCCCCCAGTCCCCGGTACACTTTCAGCCCCGCCTCGCATGCGCTCAGGGACTTGGGCGTGTCTCCTCTTCTGTAAGGCCATTCCAACTTGGCAGAATGGCCATAGAGCTGAGGCCAGGCCAGGCCACCTTGACTGTCTCCCCTCCCGTTGCAGACACCTATCAATATTCCAATTCTCTCCATAGTTTGGTATGGCTTTTTCGGTTCTGAATTGATCTAAGGCCTTTGAGTGTCTGTTAATAATTCCTTCTGGGGGCCCCTGGGTGGCTCAGGTGTTAAGCATCTGCCTTTGGCTCAGGTCATGATCCCGGGGTCCTGGGATTGAGCCCCGCATCTCCCTCTCTCTCTGCCTGCCACTCTCCCTGCTTGTGCGCTCTCTCTCTCTGGCAAATAAATAAATAAAATCTTAAAAAAAAAAAGAAAGAAAGAAATGCTTCCTTCTGGCCCAACTCCTCAACAGCCACCAACCTGCAATGCCACCTCCTCTCCCTGCGGTCTCCCCAAAAAGCAGGGGGATAGAAGCAGCCTCTGAGGCCCCTCCTGCACTCCTCCATCACTGGCCCTTCTTAGAGCTCTAACACCCACTTGGGTTGTGGTCCTTCCTGCGCTGTTCCCATGGTTCTACCTGATAAACTTGACTATAAACTGGCTTATTCATCATGCCTCATCTAGAGCACCTAGCACCTGCCCAGGCGGAGCTAGGCCTCCTGTGTTTGCTGAATAAGTTTATTACTCTCCATATAAAACAACACTTCCTTTACTGCTCTAAATTTATACTATGCAAATCTCAAAGGTTGTCCCTTTGTCTATTGTGAACATATCTGCCTTAATCTTCACCACACTCTTCTCAATTTTGTGCTGGAGCATTTTCCACTTCCGCTTTCCCTTGCTTGGCCCCAGAGCTCTGACCCCTCGGGCCCTGCCCCAGCCCCTTCCTGGGCAGACACTTCTACCCTGGCGCCCTGCCTTCCGGAGGAGCTCCCCTCCCCCGCCCTGCCTATGAACACTTTAGAACTTCATGCTCACAAAACAGGACACAGACTCTAGTCCTCCAGTCCAGTGTTGATCCACAGCATTGTCTGGTCTTTGTGGCCCCTGTAGCACATGGAGAATAGAGAATTCTAGACGGTGCCTTATTTGCATCCACCCCCGAGCCCCGGGCCTGCAGGACAGCTACACCCAGAAACTCCATGGTCACCTCAAATGCAACAGGTCTCCCAGAAGGCCACCATCAACCGCCGGAAGGAGGCTCCTTCCCTCCCACTCACACAGGCTCTAGGACCGTGTATCCTGGGGCCCCCATTGCCCATCTTCAAGGGAAGTGGGGCTCCCAGCTGGAGCCATGCCAGGATGGCTCTCAGGGAACACAAGGGTCTACTCTGGCAGGGCAATCCACCCCTGCTCAGTCCACAGAGGTCCTCTGCGGTCTCCAAGCCTCCACCTGGCTCTAACGCCTTGGTTGCCCAGGGGCGCTCCCTTACACGCTCCCTGACCTTGGGGGCATTCCTACAGGTCCGTTCCCCCGCACAACCCTGCCTGTGCTTTTCCTACCTTCTCACGTTGGCATCACTTCCCCCTACTATCTGCTTGTCCAAAACCTCATCAGTCCTCACAGGGAAGTGGAATACCCAGAGGAGAGTGCTGATTAGAAGGAAAACTATAGATGCTACCCAGAGTCTCTGACCTTTCATCTGAACCCCTCCCCGAAGACCCAGAATACAAGCAGGGGGTGGGGGGTGTTGCAGAGGGCTGAGGTCCTCCAGTTCAGGGATGGGGCAGTACAAACTTTCTGTCAAAGGGGGACATCATGTTAATTATTTGCTGTGTGGCCCCAGGTATGTCACTCACCCCCTCTGAGCCTCAATCTCCTGTCTGCCTACACGTCCTTACACAATGTGAGCTACCTGCTGTGAAATGAGTTTGTGAAGAGCAGAGCCCTCTGTGGGTGGGAGGTGGTGGGGGGGCCCTCTGGGTAACATCAGATCATCTGGAGTCTTCTGGAATGGCCCTACTTGCCTGACCTCTCCATTCCTGATAGATGCTTTCTGACTCTGGCACGCTAACGGGCTCACCGGCCTCAGTATTACCTTTTTCACACGATACCGAGCGCCCCAGGAATAGGGGTCTCTGGTTGTACTGGTGGCTGTCTGTAACTCACAGCAAGGCACACGGACGTAACAGCCCTGCAGCTGTGGGGCCCTTCATCCTCCTCCTCATCACCACCCCCCTCCTTCTCCCCGGACAGCCTGACTGGAGAGAGGCCCAGAGTCTGCCCCGGGGGGCAGGGACAGGCTGGACCCCTCCCAAGGCTGACCCTGCCCATAGCGTCCTCACGTCTGTGTTTGACTTTAAAGCTAATCTATCTAGAATTAATGCACTTTCTTCCCGTCCCTAGACGCGCACAGTTCACACCCGCAGCCAGCCCCTTGTCCTTTCCCACCAGCCACTCCCAGGCTGCGCTGCTGGGCTTTGAACATGCCAGGGCAGGGGAGAAGGAGGTACTCGAGGGCACGATGGTGGGCTGAGGTGGCACCTGAGGGCCCCTGTTCGTGACTGGGGTCTCAGAACTCCCTGCGTGGGTAATCTCTCTGCCGCCCTGCAGGGCGCCAAAGACTCCCTTCCCCACCACCCCCTGCCCACTCACCACCCCTCCCCGACCACCCTACGGGGCCTTCAACTCAGGGGTCCCCCCTTTCTACCTGGGGCCTTGGACTCACTCCCAGCACCCCTCACCCCAGCGACTCTCCTGCCCACCCCTTCGCTCCGGTTCTTCCTGGTCTCCAGGGTTGGGGGGGGGATCAGAAAGTCGGGAAGCCACAGGAAATCAGCTTGTAACTGGTTGCTTCCCAGGGAAATGGCCATGACAGTTTCGATAAGGACCCCAGAGCCTGAGTCTCCCCCTCAGCCCTTCAGCTGTTTCTAACTAGAGGCACCCCCTGAGCTCTCCCCATGCAAGAAGCTGCTGGATGCTCCGTCCTTCCCTTCCCAGCCAGGGCTGACAGCCTATGCGGTGCCTTTGAGAGGTTTGGGAAGAGCCGGCCTTCTGGGCAGATGCAGCCTGCAGACGAAGGCAGGCAGAGGCCACCATCTGGGTGAAGAAAGAGTCCCTGCTCCCCCAGGGGAGAGGGCTGGAGAGGGGGAGCTGCGGGAGGCCAGCCCCTCTCAGCCCAGGCCACACCCCTCGCCCTGCTGCCACCCGTCTCCAGGGTGACCCCTTTAGCACCCCCAAAGCAGAATGAGGTCAGAGCCCAGGTGTCCAGCTCTTTGGCAGCCCCCTCCCCTGCAAAGGGAGTGGGGGAAAAGAAGGAGGAGCCCTGCCTGAGGCTGGCACACATGGGACCCCCAGGGAGTGCCCGCCCCGATCCCACTCACCCTGAGTCACTGTAGCAGGTGCCCAGAGCCAGAGACCCAGGGTCAGGATCCAGACCACCAGCATCTCCAGATGGGGCCCTGGCTGCAGGGTCTCCCCTCATCAGGAGGGACCAAGAAATGAGAGCTCCCAGGGAAGGACCAGCTATATAAAGGACCCCAGAGACCTTTGCCTTGGGCTAGGGGTGCAGTAGTGAGACTGGGTGGATGGTGTGTGGTGACCACAGGGAGTTGGCCAAAGAGCAGCCCGTCAACTCTCCCCTCTAACTCCACGAAAGCTGACCGCCCACAGCCAGGGTCCCTACGGCGGAAGCCAGAGCCATGGGTGTGGCCGGGCAAGAGGGAGGGACAGGAGGCCGGAGATGTGAGCGTGGGTGGTGGTTAGCAAGGGGCGGGGGCCAAGAAATGCCAGGGAGAGAGTAACTATGGAGGGAGGGGGGACAGTCCTGGAGGGAGTAGCCAGCCACAGGCCAGGCTGACTGAGGGACCCTACACCTCCACCCCTGAGAAGCCCCTCTTTCTTCCAGCCTTCCTTCCCCTCATCCACCTCAGGCTGGCCCCTGGCAAATTTCCAGTGCCTTCCCCCAGGCCTGCGACCACCAGCCCTTCTGGGTGGGAGTCCCATTCACACCTGAGGCTTTATGGTCCTAACCTCCACCCCCAGCCACTGGCAGTCCCAGGGCAAAGGTCCCAGGGGCTTCTCCCAAACCTCCACCCAAAGAACCTCATTCTGTCAGCCCCGACCACCCTCAGCCCCCACAGTAGTGGGAACCGCAGGCCCAAGCCCAAGAGTTGGCAGGCCCTGGCGTGAGCGTGTCTGCCACCCAGGCTTGTGGAGGCTCGAGGCCTTTGGGGAGGCCCAGCTTTACCCATCGGCGCGAATGGCAGCTGACCCGGCCCGGGCCACCCACCCCCCTGACCCAGGCCCGAGCTCCCTATGTCAAGGGAGGAAGGGCAGAGATGACAAACCCAGCAGGCCCCCCACCCGCTGCTGACCCGGAGGCTCACCTGCCACCATCCACTCCATAACGAAATGGCCCCCAGTCTCTAGGAGAACAGTCATGGCCCTGAGGGCTTCCCACAGACCCCTTCCTCCCTTGCTGGGAGAAGCTGGTGCTCCCAGGCCCTCCCACACATCCTCTGGATGCCCCTGTCCTCCAAGTGGAGGTGCTATAAAATGAGGAAGACACAGCAACTTCTTCTACAATAAATGCTATATTGTGCTCATGGGACAATGGAAGCTGGCAGACTTTCTTCCCCAAAGGAGATGTTCCTGCAAAGAAGCCTGGGGACTTCTGGCCTCTGAGGTTACTGCGGGGATGGGGGTGAGGCCAGAGAGGAAAGGGGCCCGGTGGGGAAGTGTTGGGAGGGTGAGGTAGTAGGGGATGGGGGAGAGAGGGCAATGAAGACAAAGGGCTGAGGGAGCTTCTCCACCTCAGGGCCCTGCTTCTGCTCTTCCTTGAGGCCCCAGAAAACCGGGATCCTGGGCCTTTGGAATCGAGAAGAAGGAATGGAGCCTCAGAATGGGGGACCAGGGCCTGAGAAGCACCAGCTGGGGGGCCTGAGAGGCAGAGGACATCCATACCTGGCTGGGAATGGGGTGTGGAGGGAGGAGGGAGGATTTAAGACTGGGGCCCTGGGATGGGGGGTGCTAAGGATTTAGGGTGAGATTATAAGGGTGGGGGAGGCGACAAACTGGGGGAGACTTGGGGCTGGGCGCTGGGCTGGGAGCGATTTAAGAAGTGGGTTCCTAGGGGGAGATCTAAGGGTGGGAACCAGGGGTGCAGCAAGGAGTTACATAAGGAGCAGGTAGGAGGATGTTTACAGGTGCAGGTGGGGAACTGGTATAGGGATGCTCACAGGAGAATAGAGACTGAGGTCCGAGACCCCCAAAGGATGTGGGGATGGGGATCTGCGAGAGACCACATAAGCACGAGGGCAGACACAGGAAGGTGCATTGGGACAGAGATCTGACAGAGCGCGTCTGGTTTTCACAGTAACCGCATGGGGTATCAGGACAAGGATGCCCTACTCATCTTAACAGGGTTCAGAGAAGTGACTGACTTGGCCAAGGCCCCACAGTGCAAGAGCCTGGATTTGAACTGGGTCTCCAGGTGAGCTTCACCCAAGTCAGGAGAAGGATGAGGGTCAGGGAGATGGTCTGAGTTTGCTCAAGGAAACCAGGAGACAGAGTTGCCCAAGTCCTTGGGCCATCCCTTGGAATGGATGTGGTTCAGATGGTTTCTTCTCACTGTCTGGGGCAGGGTAGAGGGGGAGGTGCCGGGCTCACAGCAAGGATGAGGCCAACCTCAGGTCTCTGGATATGCACCTGCCACAGAATATGTACCAAAGAAGGGGTGAGAACAGGGAACCACCCTGCTCAGGCTGGCTGGAAGGTCACTGCCTCCTGGTCCTAGCCCAGCCCCCTGCCCTGGTGGGTGGAGGGAGGGCATCTGGACCTGGATCTGGGAGAGTTCCTTACCATCCCCCCTTTGTCCCCCTCACCCTCACATTGGTGTCCACAGTCTCCAAGGCCACCTGGAAGTGTTCTTCCTTGACTAGAGAGAGAAAAAGAGGAGGGGAGGAAAGAACAGGAGGAAAGAGAGGTGAGAAGGGGCAGGAAAGGTGGGGAAGGCAAGGTCTGGCAGGGGGGCTCCTGTGCCCCCGGGCCTGCCCTGCAGGGATGGCCCCGGCAGGACCTTCGCCTTCCTCTGGAGGTGCCCAGGGAAGCGGTGACTCGAGCTTCCCAACACGAGGTACGCGTCCGCCTTGGGCAAGGGAGGACGTTGGGTCCTTCCCAGGCCGCAGTGGTGCCCAGGAAAGCCCCTGTCCCCCTTCCCCAGGAGGCGGGACTCACCTGTTTGGTCGTCCTCCAAGCCCAAGTTTGAAAAAGTCCCCACAGTGTCCTCATCCCAGATCTCGAACCATTTCCTGTCGTCATCCCAGGACCTGGGTCGGGGCAACGCGCCGCCACGTCAGAGCAGGGCCGCCCCAGCTGGGACCCCTTGGCCGCCCTCACCCCCACCCCCAGCGCGCTCACCGGCCTCCACCTTGGCCACCTCGCTGGGAGCGGGAGCGCGCGACGAAGAGGCTCAGGGACGCCAGCAGCCCCAGCAGCAGCAGAGCCCAGACCCCCGCCAGGCCCCTGATCAGCGCCCTCCAGGCGACGGCCACCTGGCAGCGCGGGCCCGAGAACCAGTGCGTGTCCGTGGAGAAGCAGCTGGAGCAGGGGGTCACAGGTCACAGACCCTCACCACCTTCCCCGCCGGGTCCACTCGTGCACACGGACCCCTCGGGTGCTGGCAGGTGGGCGGGGCTCCACCGTGGGCCGAGGGGGCGGGGCCGGGGCGGCGCCGGGGTGAGCGGCCAGCTGGTAGGCCTGGCGGGCTGTGGGCGGGGCTCCCGCGGACGTGCTGAGTCTCACCGGCAAGCAGGACCGCTCCTCTCCACAAGGCACTGGCCCTGGTGACAGTCGATGGCGCCGTCCACGCCCAAAGTGCATTTGGTGACACAGCGGAGCCGGTTCTCCTCCACCAAGGGGAAGTAGAAATCCTCATAGCCTTTGGCAGTGGCGCGGCGACAGATGGCTGGGAGTGGGTAAGGGGTTGCAGAAAGACAGGGACCTCATCCGCTCTACTCAGGGGCCTGGTTATAATGGCTCTGAAAATAGATGGGGGAAACTACATTTCCGAGGGTGGGGTGTCCTGGGGTAGACCGTAGGATTAGATGAAGGGAAGGCAGATCCCCAGGACCTTCACCCTCTCCTCACCTTCTCTGCTAGTCTTCAGGTGGAAGCTACTAACAAGGGCCAGGAAGGGCAGCCCTGCCCAGGGTCACATCACTTGCCTCCATGAAAGGTCTCCTCCGCCTCCCCAGGGAGTTTCAGTGGGCAAATGTTCCTGGTGGGAGGGTCATGGCCTCCTGGGGCCACTCAGCCCTTTGCCCACCCTCACCTTCCAGAGTCAGCTCCTTCCTGGTGTTATTGTTCACCTTGATGGAGTCAGGCTTAAAACACAGGGCTGGGGGGACACAGGCACAGGTGGATTTGGGGGAGGTTAAGGGCTCAGGGACAGATAAGCAGAGCAGGGAAGCCCAGGGAGGGGCAAAGAGGGCTCTGTCCCTATGGGGGAGATGTGGAGGGGCCACAAGGGAATGCTCCTCTTGCCTCCCTCATTTCCCTCCGAATAAGCAAGGGTCCTCAGCCATCCTGAAAATTTGGAGAACTGTCAAGGGGTCTTCCCCAGTACCCAGGTTCTGGCAGGCCCCTCCTTAGTCCCATTCTTGACCCAGTTGGCTGTAAACCTACCCCTTCCTCTCCCAATCTGCTGGAAGGACCCCAGGGCTGGCACCTGAGCCCAGAGGCTCCTATCAAAGCTGGTAGCTCTGGCCCTGACCCCTCCCTGCAGCTTTGGCTCACTCTGGTTATTCTGGCAGTTGTCCCCATTATGGCTGACATTCTGGAGCTCCTCCTTCAGGACTGACTTCATCTTCTCATACTCGCTCTCCAGATGGGGGCTAAAGGGCAACTCCAGCAGGACTAGATAGTCCACCACAATGCTGCCACTCCTGAGGGGGTCGAGAGGGTCGGGGGTCTTACAGGGTGCTCAGGCCTAGGGCACATAAGTCTTTAGGAGGGCACCTCCAGGACCAACCACAAGTGCACTGGTATTGGGAGGAAGGCAGAAGCAATGAGTTGGGATTCCAGGAACATTATTTGCAGGAGCCACCAGCATCCCTGATTTAATCAGCCCAGAAGGCAGGACAAGGAATGATTAACATTCTCTTGCCTTGCATCAAGCTGTTACCAAACCAGGCCCTCTTGAGCTCTCTGCCTCACTCATGCTGACCCACTCAGTAGGCCAGGTGCCAGCCAGAGAAAAGCTAGCTACTGTCCAGACACCAGGCTTCCCACAATTCTTCATGTGCCACCTCCCTGCATGTCCCATGTAATCTCTTTCCTTCCAAATCATGTTTTAAAAGGAGGGGTGGCATCTCTCCTATAGAGAAATGACCACAGAAAATGACTGAAACAAAATCCCCCATGAAGTGATTGGCTCCCCCATCTCCTTCCTTCACCTCTCTCTTTCTAAAATCTGATGATTCCAAAAGGAAAAGATGTCTTCTCCAGCTTTTCTTTGTGCCCCTTGCCCCCACCCAATGCTGCTTCCACAGCCCCATAAGGGTCTCCTACCTCAATGACAGGATCTCCACATCCTTGAACCCCTGCACATTTTGGTAAATCTTCTGCATCTGAAATGCCAAGATCCTTGGGCTCACACCTGAACCTTGTGACCCGCGTGTACCCAGGCGCCCAAGCTCAGCTTCAGGGAAGCACCCTGGAGTTCCCTCCCTTTCCCCGTCACCTGATCCCGGAAGGTGTCACTGAAATCTTTGTAGGCCGTGGAAGTGCAGTCATTGAGGTCCGGGGAGAACGCCTGGTCAACAGACACCTCCATGCCCACTTCGGCATCCACAGTGTCTGCGCACAGCATACCCTGCTCTGGTCACTTCACCGTCCACTCCCGTCTGACATCACCACCACCACCGCGACCCGGAGGATCCTCCCATTGCCCCTCTCTGCGTTCCCTGAGGAATGACCGAACAGTAGCAAGAAGGAAGATGGGACTTTTTCCCCCCACAAGCGGAAGATAGGATTTCTAGGATTTGTTGTGTTGAGATGTAGGAAAGATTAGAGGTAAGGAGGCATAGCAGCCAGGCCTGTGGTCTCTCCCTTGTCTGGCCCAGTGTCAGGCAGAATAATGGCTCCCCAAGATGCCTGTGTCTTCATCCCCAGAACCTCCGGATATGTTATGCTACATGGCATGGGGGAATCAGGATTGCAGACAGAATTTAAATCACTAATCAGCTGACTAAAATGGGAAAATTAACGTGGATTGCTGGGTGGGCTCAACATAATCCTAAGAGTCCTTGGCAGTGGAAAAGAGAGGCAGAAGAGGTCAAAATCGGTCACAAGATGTGACTACAGAAGAAGGGCGCAGAGATGTAATGTTGCCAGCCTCAAAGATGGAAGAGGGAGCCTTGAGACAAGGAACGTGAGAGGCTTCAGAACCTCAAAAGAGCAAAGAAATGGATTCTCCCCTAAAGCCTCCAGAAAGGCACACAGGCCCGCCGACACCTTGACATTAGCCCAGTTAGCCTCACGTCAGACTCCTAGCTACAGAATTGTAAGACAATACATTTGCATTGTTTCAGCTGCTAAGTTTATGATCATTTGTTACAGCAGCATTTAGAAGCTAATACAGCTCCTAGCAGCCCAGACTGGGAAGGAGACCACAGGAAGGAGTGTGATACCAACCACCTCCTGGAGGTGAGGGTGGAAAGGAGGCATGACACGGGGTAGAGGAAAGCATGGGACAGAAGGCAGGGATGGAGGAATTAGGCAAAATGACATGAGTGCTGACAGGCGAACCACAGGACTGGACCCAGGGAGAGTCAGTGGCATCTGCCAGGAGGAAGTGCAAAAGGCAGGGCTCTGGCAACTCACCCAGATCCACCTGTCCCACCACAAACTCGCAACGGGAGCCATAGAAGGTACGAAGGCAGTGGCACGTGAGGCCATCCCATTTACCCCCATTCTGGCACCTGATCTCCTGGAGCTCACAGTGGTCCCCAGAGAACCCCAAGGGGCAGTGGCAGAGGCCCTGCATCCAGGTGCCACCATTGTCACAGGTGCCTGGACAGCACAGGAAAAAAAGGAAGTTCAGGATAGGGCTTGCCCTTGGTGACAGAGAAATTTATCAGAGGAGAGAGAAGAGGGAACAGGGAAGCAGGAGGTCCAACCTGGCGTGGTGGTCAACCTAGACTGTGTGGTCATCTGAGTAGTGGTCGAAGTGGTCCTGGGTGACTTAAGGGTGGTAGTACTCTGAGGGGTAATCGCCGGTGTTTCTGGAGTCTTGGTAGTGGTTGGGGTGGAGTGAGTCGACTTGATTGAAGTCACCATGGCAGTTGGAAAGCTATTGCTTGGTTTCGTCGTCAGTGGGAGGCTAGTGAATCCAGGCATATGTGGGATGGTTATAGAATTGGTGTTCATCCAGTTTCCACTGGTGGGTCTTGGAGCACTTGTCAAAACTGTGTAACTGGGGACAGTCCCAGTGCTGACAGAACTAGAACTAGGAGCATCTGTTATGCTGTTGGTAGGATGAGTTTCCCGAACAGCAGAAGCGTCCGTACGCATAGGAAACACAGTTGTCATACTGGTGGAACCAGGAGAGGTGGCCATCTCAGTAGTAGAAGTAAACACTGACATTGGGATGGTGGCCACAGAAGTAACTTCACTACTTGGACCCATTTCCATACATGAAGTAGTGGGAGAGGCAGGTGCTATTGTAACTGATACAGATTCTGGACATGGGGTGGTAGAAGAAATGAAACAGGTGGTGGTTGTTTCAGTAGCAAAGGTCTTTAGAGAAGATGTGACTGGAGACGTTCTTATAGTTTCAGATGAAAAAGGAGTAGTGAAAGCAGTAGCAGAAGAGCCTGTATTTTCCATTCTAGAGAGAGGTGAGGGTGTAGAAAGAGAGGTAGTGGTGGTGGTGAGCATTGAAGTTACACTGGTGGAGGATAGAGAAGAGGACGTTATTGTTGCGGATATTGAAGAAGAGATAATAGTACCAAAAGAAGTAGTTATTGCATTTGTAGATGTACTCAGACTAGGGAACGATGATGTTGGAGAAACACAGGAAGTACTGGGTGGTACTGTGGGGGTGGGTGTTGTTACCAACATCGTAGTAACAGTCATGGCTGTTTCTGGGGTAGAGGGAGTGGGCGAAGTGGCTGTGATCGGGGTAGAGCTTGAAGTGTGGGTGGGAGTGGTGATGTCAGCTGTGGCCACTGTGACTACAGGGGTGGATGCAGCCCTGGTACTAAGGAGTGTAGTAATCAAGGTGGATGAAGGGGTAGTGTTTGTGGTCGAATCGGAGACTGATTCTGTGGTTGGGGCAGGTGGAGAAGACAGATGCATGCTCACGGCTGATGTCAAGGTATTGGTGGTCACTGGAGTAGAGGAGGTAAATGTCAGAGAACCAACCGGATTCGTGGGAGTGACTGGTGATGTGGTTGCAAGAGGAGAAGTAATCTCTGTGGTGAGAGACTGCATCCAAACACCCCCAGTGGGAGTTAGTGTGGTCTTCCAGGTGGATGGGGCATGAGAAGGTGTGACGGTCATCTTGCGTGTATATGTAGTAAATGCAGTAGAGGAGGGGAGCCCAGTGGTCGGGGATGTTGTGTGTGTGGCAGTGGCAGTGGGTGCTGGGGTGGATTCAGCATGTATGTGCCACGTACCTGTGCCTGTTGCATATGAGGTGGTACTCTCTGTCTGTGTGGTCCCGGTACTGCTGGTAGACACGGGAGAGGAGCCTGCAGATGCAACCGGAGTGTCTGTAGCAAAGGTAGGAGGTCGAGTGCTGTGCGTACTTGTGGGCATGGTTGCCGTAGCAGGCATTGTGGTAGAGGTTGTGATGACACTGGATGATATGTCTTGTATTCTGGACAGTGGGGAGAGATGGGATGATGTAGGTGGGTGTTGCCACTGTGCTGGAAGCAGTGATTGTGGAGGTGAGGTCAGTAATGGTAGTCAGTGAGCCGGTGGTAGCCCTGGCTGTAGGGGTGATGGTTGTCCGTGTTGAGTTGGGCATGGCTGTACTAACAGAGGACGAGTTTATGGCAGTGGTTATCCTCGGGGTACCAGTGGTAGAGGGAGTTGGGGTTATCGCTGATGTGGTTGTGCTTCCTTTAGAAGAGATGTTTGAAGAAGTGACACCTGGGGTACTGTGTGGTATTGCAGGAGTGGGCGCTGTTACCACAATCGTGGTCGTAGTTTCTGGAGTGGAGGAAGTGGGCAAAGAGGCTGTGTTCAAGGTGGCCATGGTTGAAATGTTGGTGGGAGGGGTGATGTCCGTTGTGGCCACGGTGCCAATACTAGTGGGAGATATAGGGGTGGACGTGACATGGGTTGTAGGGAGGGTAGTAATCAAGGTGGATATCGGGGTAACGGTTGTGGTCCAGCTGGAGACTGAATCTGTGGATGGAGCAGGTGGAGAAAACAGACGCATACTCGTGGCTGATGTCAAGGTATTGGTGTTCAGTGGAATAGAAGAGGCTGATGCTGGAGAACTGACTGCGTTCCTGGGCGTGATTAAGGATGTAGTTGAGGGAGGAGAAGTAATCTCTGTCATGAGAGACACTGTGGAAATGTCTTTTGTAGGAGTAAGTGTAGTTTTCCAGGTGGTCATCTTGCCCGTGTGTGTGGCGGCTCCAGGGGGAGAGTGTGGTTCTGTGGTTGTGCATGTTGTATAAACATTGGTGGCAGTGGGTTCCAGGGTGGGTTCAGAGGTGGCAGATGTGGGGGAAACCACTGTGGTTTTTGGAGTGACTGATGATGTGATTGGAGAAGTCCAAGTAATTCCTGTTGTGAGAGTTTCTTTAGGGGTGTCACTCCCCAGAACGAGTTTTGTTTCCATAGAACTCATTGTTTTCAAAGTAATTGGTGTACTGAGTGCAGCAGTCGTTCCAGTAGAAGCAGATATACTTTGCGTTGTAGGTGTTGTTAATATATTTACTGTTGTGGGATCATGAGTGGTGGCAGTTGCTGTTCTGAATGTACTGGCGGTGTTCGGAAATGAAGCCGTGGTTGTAATCAAGGTGCTACTGGTGATGGGTGAGGAGTTGTTATCAGTTACGATTGCTGAGATGTTCGTGGCAGTTAGAGAAGTAGAAGTGATGACGGGGGTAAGAGACCTGGGTGTATGAATGCTTGCTGTGGTCTGGCTAGCCCTTTTTGTGGTACCAGTAGTAGAGGATATCGGAGTATGGGAGGTTGTGTGTGGGGTTGAGACAGAGGAAGAAGAGAGTAGGGCCATGGTTGTGGGAGTTTTCCCCAGAGTGGTGGTGGTAGTGGGAGGAGAGGTTATGGCTGAGGTGAGTCTCTCGGTGGTGGTCAGGGTCATGCAGGTGGTGGGGTAAGTGGTAGTGATTATAAAGCTCGTGGGATTGATGCACTTTGTGGTGCTCGTGTAGACAATGAGGGTGGGTGGAGTGGTTTCCACCTTGATGACAAGCTTGGACGTTGGGATTGTTGAGGTGTTGGACTTGACTGTAGTTTGGAGCAATGCCTCAGAAATAGGTTTAAAGTGAGGGGAGGTGGTGAGAGTGGTAAGTGTGTGTTCCCTACTGTTGAGAGCTGGAGGGGCCCTGCTGGGGATGCCGAGTGGCCACCGCGCTGCACCTGTGGAACGTGGGGAGTTGCTGAGAGCAGTGTGAGCTGCTTCTGTTCTGGGAAAAAGCTCAGTAGAGGTGGATGGAGCCATGGGGAACGTGCCTACATTGAGGACAGAAGAGAGGGATTCATTTGCAGATAGCGTTGACACGATAAACCCCACGTAGCTTAGTCACTACCCCATTTTCCAGATAGTATCACAGAAGGTAGGACGTTCCATTGCTTATCCCTCCATCAGAGGCAGTTTGGGGCTATGGCCTTTCAGGTTCTGAAGGGGATGCCCTCAGTCCTTTGGCCCCTCTTCTGAGTGGGGACCTTCCAGCCCTAGGGACGGCTGTGCTGAGCATGCATGTTCTGCTGAGGGTCCTCCCACCTCACCCCTTTCTCCACACATACATGTTTCCCTTACTCTGCTCCCTCCTCTTCCCCACCTGCTGCCCAAAGTCCCCGCCCTTTGGCTCTCCTCTGCCCTTCTCCCTATGACGCACTGCTGTCTCGGCTGACTCTCCTCTTCCAAGAGAACCCCACCAAGTCTGGGTTTGTGGGGGGAACACATCATGGACACTGGAGCCATTGGGTCAGAGAGGGGAAAATTGCATAGAGAACAGCAAAGGGAAAACCAGAGTTTGAGGCTCAGACTCTATTGAGTTTGAGGGACAGGGAGAGAGGACCACACTGACAGGCTGAAGGACAGGACAGAAAAGGAAACTTCCAGAAAGTGATAAGTCAGAAGGTAGGCATGGCTTCGGCTGCCTTCAGCTCAGGTCATGATCCCTGCATTGGGCTCCCTGCTCAACAGAGAGCCTGCTTCTCTCTCTCTCTCCCTCTGTGACTCCCCCTGCTTGTGGGCTCTCTCTCAAATAAATAAATAAATAAAATCTTAAAAAAAAAAAAGGTAGGCATGAATTCCAAAGACCTTAAGGTTTAGCAGTGAGTGTCAATAAAAACAGACGTATTTTCTATCACCCACTCTATTTTGGCCACTGGGTTAATTAGTTTACAAACATGAACCCCTAACTCTACAGATATCATCAACCCCACTTAAGAGTGAGGGTCAGAGGGGCGCCTGGGTGGCTCAGATGGTTAAGCATCTGCCTTCGGCTCAGGTCATGATCCCAGAGTCCTGGGATCAAGCCCCACATCGGGCTCCTGGCTCAGCGGGGAGCCTGCTTCTCCCTCTGCCTCTCTCCCTGCTCATGCTCTCTCTCTCTGTATCTCTGTGTCTCAAATGAATAAATAAAAACTTAAAAAAAAAAAAAGAGTGAGGGTCAGAGATCTCATTATGCTGGGGTGAGTGGCAGAGAGACTCCTGCAGCCACAGCATTTGCAAGCAGGAAGTGCCCAGACCTCCTGCCCACCCAGCATTAGCCTCCTCCTCACCTTGGACCGAGAACATCTTTGTTCTGAGAGCTGGGATTTCATTTCTCAGCCTAGCTGGGTATGTCAGGGAGGTGGGAGGGGGGATTATGAAGATTCCTGGGTTAGAGCCCTTAGTGCCAGGAGGTGGCCCTAGAGGTAAGTGAGAGGGTGGTCCATGGGCCTCTAGGTTGGGAAGGTGTAGGACTGAGGGTCAGGAACAGACACCAAGAGACAGAGGGAAGGGAAATACAGAGGAATTATGGGATTCCTAAGGGACAGGAAAGAGAAAGCCCTGGACCGCACGCCGGTTAGTATACACCCACCCTTTGGGAGCAATCAGGATCTCCCCAGCCCAGCCCTGCCAATGACAACTGTGCCCAGAAACATGGGCCGGGTGGGGGCAGGGAGAGATAGAGGCAGAGCTGGAGGAGGGGACTGGGAACAAAGGCAAAGATGCCCCAGAGAGAGGAGAGAACCCCAGGGGAAGAGGTGGAGCTGTCATGGAGAGAGCACCCCTGGAAGTTAAGGAAGAGTCCAGAATGGACAGAGCACCGGGCTGGTGAGGGGAGGGACAGAAGAGAAGTGAGGGCTCAGAAAACCAAATCAAAGGGAAGAGCACTTCTCTGGAAAGAGGTTATGCCCGCTCTCCCGATGCAAGCACCCACGCTCACAACCTGCTTGGTCCTGGGTGGAGAGCAGCACCAGCTGGACCCAGCTTCCTTTCTCCTCGATGCCTCCCACACCCAAAGCTCTGAGGAATCTCTCCTCAGTCTCCACTTAGGCCTCAGAGCCACTTCCCCACACACCCCTGCCCCAAAACATCAGCCCTTTCCCCACCGGCCCCCTCACCTCTGAGCACCCAGAGGAAGACGAGGAGCCTGAGCAGCCGCATGGGCCTGGCGAGGCAGGTAGAGCAGGTGCCAGCACAGGGGGTGGCTACAGGAGATGGCCACTATGTACATAGCAGCACCCAGCGGGGACTGAAAGGTGTGGCTCTCTGCCCTGCTAGACGTGGGGGCTGAGCATAGGCTCCCCGTTGCACCACCTCTTCCCCCCTTCTCCAGGTATCTGACTTCATTGCTGTTGGAAGGACACCAAGAAGGTAGGACTAGCCCAGGAGGTGTCAAACAGGGAGTGCTGCTGGTGGCCCACTCAGAGGAGTTCCTAGAACCCTGCCTTTCCCCTCCCCTGCCCCCCACCAAGAACCAGCAAAACTGGATGGAGAATACACTTGGTCAAGACCTTGGACTCTGGAGTCTGGGCTTGACTCTCACAGCCTCTCGTTAGTTTCAGTCCCAGCTTCAGGACAGGGAGGGGAAAACTTGTTCTCCTCACTCCCTCTCCCCCTTGCTCTTCCCTCTCTCCATCCTGCCCTTAGCATGACTTGGGCTGAGACCCCATAACCAAAGCCATGGGAGCAATGCGGCATTCAATCAGAAGTCATTTTAATATCTGAGGATCTGGGCCAGGTCCAGAAAAGAAGATACAGATGGCCAGTGGAAATGATCAAACAAAAGGATGTTTTGACACAGCAGATTGGCAACTATTATGAAGTTTGAGCCCCTTCAGTGTCGGCAAAGGTGTGAAGAACACACACTCTTACCCAGCTGGTGGGAGTGTAAGTGTGTTGGGCTGCTCTGAAAAGCCCATTTGGTGACATCTATTAAAATTTTAAATGCATGCTCAAGGACCTAGTAATTCGACCACTGTGTCTCCGTGTTCAAGAAGCACTTCACAAAGGTATTCACAAGGATGTTTATTGCCATCCAGCTTATTGTGATTCCAACAGAAATGGGAAACAACCCAAATCTCCCTCAATAGGAATCTAGAATGACTATGGAATCATCACACTATAGACTACCATGCTTGAATCAAAACGAAGAGTACCATAATGGAAAGACTCTCAGAATGGCTTGTTCAGTGAAACCAAGAGACACAGTTTTGTTAAAACACACACATATGTATTTCCTATGAATGCACACACAGACACAGACACACAGGTAAATGCATTCAAAATTTGAAAGAAAAAAAAAAAGCTCACCTACCCCAATAACAAGGGTAAGATTAATTCAGAGAAGCAAGAAGGAACTAGGTAGGGTTCAGAATGATAGTCAGGGAACATTAGCTCTATCTGTAGTTTCTACTTTTTACCTTGACAAAGATTTCTCTCCTTGACCAAACTCTGACAAGCCTCCCCTGAGCCCTGTTCCCAACTAATCTTCAACCCTGGCCTATAAAGGCTTGAACAATCACCAACACAGTTCTAAGAGCTCAAGGCCACATCCCTAGGCTGACCCCAACCTCCCTTAAAGTGCCTGCCTGAGAAAACTCAAGGCTTCCAAAAGAATTTACTATTTGTCCCAGCAAACACCCGAATATAAGGCCTCTGTCTCCCAGCCTCTGGGGAAAGGTAGGAGCCTAACTTTAATAAGCACCAGTTAGCAAACCCAGATGGGTCTCATACGGACCACATCCCCTACACTTCCTGTAACTATTCACTCCCCCAGTCCCCTGAGCCCCACTCCCTCCCACCCCCCTCCCTCACTCTCCCTTGACCTCTGTGCAAACCAGAGTTCAGTTCCTGCTGGACTCTTTCCTATTGTAACAGTATGTTACTGATTAAAATCTGTCCTTAACACTTTAACTAGGGTCTGGCTTTGTTTATCCTTGACAACTTGAAGATGATGTTATGCTTTTGAAGGTAATGTAAAAG